CACCCCAAATCTCATTCAAATCGGAATATCGGTTCTTAAAATATAATACAGGCAGTCCTCGTACTTACGGCAGGTTAGGTTCTTCAAAATAGCGCCTTAAGTCGAAACGACACACAGTGCTTCAAGCATATTATGGGCTCTTAGGACAAAAATCATAACTCGAGTATGAATGTTTTTTATTGACATAATTTGGTTTATATTAGCCAGATTTGCTTTTTTGCTGAAAACATGGTCATACATTTACATAAAATATATGGTATATACAGGGTATTCAGATGTAGAATGTAGAATGTTTAGGAGGGGAGTTAATCACCGCGACCTTATAGATCTATTGTGTGTTCCCCTTTCTTGAGTTATAACGAGTTATAACTCATCATACAGTCTCAGGGCTTTAAGAAAAGCCAGTATCTGAGACGGCTCCACAGAGGCCAGCTCTCCATCCTCGACATCAGACATACCAAAGTTCATGGCACGAATGGTCGTCGTCTCGGCGCACACAGTGATAAGGTGTTCTGGTGTTTCCCCATTTTCCCCAGAAAATCTGCATTCGCCGTTGTTTCTCAGTTTCAGCCTACTGAGGTGTTCGTTGAGGAGACAGTGTCCTGTTAGAAACCCCGTGACAATCCGAAGATTGTTTTTACTTAAATCAAGGAAAACCTTTGATTTTTCTCGGTCATAAGTTCTAAGGAACTTTTTCGAGTGTCTTAGACCGTTGGAGGATACCCATTCCAAGTTACGGATGGAGTCTTCCAGATTCTTCAGTTCCGCTTTCAGTTGGTTCCCGTTTGGAAAACAGAACGGTTCTGGTCCAGTTAGTGGAGTGTTCGCTCCTTTTCTAGCTAGATCATTTGCTTTTTCATTGCCTTCTATCCCTTGGTGAGCAGGCACCCAGAGTAGGAGGACTTTATTTTCTTTGCCTAATTTGTTGAGCTTCTCCAGGCATTCTTTGACCAACTTCGAATTGATGGTTACTGAGTTGATCGCGTTAAGTGCTGCCTGACTATCGGATAGGATGGCAATTTCCTGTTTTCGATAGTTCCTATCTAAGATAAATTGTACGCATCTTTCGATAGCGCAAATTTCTGCCTGAAGGATACTGGGGTAGGTGATCATTGGTTCGGAGTATTCAGTTTTCGGCCCAAATACTCCTATCCCTGTCCCTGCTTTGGTTTTGGAAGCATCCGTATACCACATGATGGTATGGTCTTTTATATGCTGAGTAAGCGTCTCTTTCTTCCAATCCTTTTTATTACTCAATACTACAGTGAGGTGTTTCTCAAAGTTGTAAATTCTTGGTATGTCATCCACTGGGAGTTGGAGAAGTAGAATTTTATTTTTGAGGGTGTTCCAAGCCCCTGACCTGCAAATTCTCCCAGTACTGTTTCCGTCAGTAACCATTCTAATCATTGTCGCATTGGCATAACTACCGACGACAATGTGCAGTGGTGTTAGGTCTCGAATGACCTCCATTGCTGCTGTTGGACATGTTCTCATGGCACCTGTGATGCAGATACATGCCAGTCTCTGTACTTTGCACAGGTTTTGCCTTGCTGTACGTTGCTCTAGTTTTGTATACCAAGCAACTGCTCAAGTTACAACTGCTCATATACATCCAGCGCAAAATGTTAGGTGCGCAGTCCCACCTATTTCCCGCCAGTCTTCTGCATATCATGAGAGCCTTTGTGGCTTTGCTGGTAATGTTCTTAATATGCCTGTTCCAGAGAAGTTTACTATCCAGGGTTATTCCCAGATATTTCACTTCCTGTGATGGCAGTATTTCCTTTCCATCTAGATGGATTCTTTTCAAGTTTTTCAAACTTCGCTTTCTGGTGAATGACACTACTGCGGTTTTATCTGAGTTAATACTCAGCCCGACAGTCCTGCACCATCTCTCAGCGATGCGGAAGGGTATTCAGATAAGTGTGCTTCTTAGCAATATTCCAACATACACCTAATTATTTACAATTTTTTTCAGTGATAAATCCAGTTCAGTTTTGGTGTAATTAGAAAAAGCAACAGATTGCTTAATCAAACTGAACACATTTTGAAATCTCTCGTCCTTAGAGTGGCCAGAATACCATTCCTTAAATATATCTCGATGTTTTTTTTTGACTAAAGGGACAACTTCGGGCATTTTTTATTATTATTTTGTAGAGAAAGAACCGGTATATAATAAAATGCACAAGTCCCGAAACCGTTTTTACCGAGGTTTTTACCTTTTTTGAGAAAATCGCTTCTGAAGTTAGATGAATGCGAAAAATACCAATTGATTTTAAACTACCGTCAGTTAATTGTAAGTAGTAATATTTCGTGTTAAAACTAAATTTTTCGTACCATTGTTAGTTGTTGTCATTGCAAATATACAGATATTTCACATAATTCAATTATCTTAGTATTTAAAAAGAAAATAAAAACAAATTAACTTCTAATTGCCAAATTTGATTAGCACTGACAGCTCGTGTTTTGACCGGTTTTGTTTGTATTGTCTTCAAAGCCGGCCTGATTCGTTGCCTACAACGCTTATTGAACCATATTGAACAAGGCCACTTGATCTAAATATCTGAAATGAAATGTTGATATTTTCATTTTTGTCCATTGCTCGAAGCACTGTGCGACGTAAGTCGAATCTTATTTTGTCATAAGATCCTATAGAAAATGGAGAAGTTAGGTACTTTTGTAAGATAAAAATACGATAAAACAAAGAGATGTGCGTTTGTATATATACAAACGCAATATAATATTAATATAATAATAATAATAATAAGTTTATATATATTATATTTATATATATTAATATAATAATAATAATAAGAAGACAAGCGGCCGAAGCCATACAAAATGAAGACGAACCACAAGCAAAACAATCAGCTTCACCTACATCACACCCACAAACAATCACACCAGAAACACCCGAAACACATACCATGCTGACTAACATACAAAGTTCATCAGCAGAATCGTCGATAAGACACACCCAACACGAAACATCAATCCCGCCAACAGACACATGCCAACCATCTAATCAAATTGATGAAACATTTAATGAACTATACGCCCAATACCAGGGAGCAAACCCATCATCCAGACCTTTCATTACCAGACCACAAAACACACAAAATATCAAAAACACCATTGCAATAATTAATAACATCATAGGAAAAAGGATTGAGGAATCAAACAGCTGCCTAGACATTGAAGAAATTCTCACGCTCGTATACTGTGGAGCAGCAACAACTATGCGAACCCACGAACAGAAGAATAAAAACAACGACTTAACTAAAACTAAAGCAGCAATACCCCCATGGCAGCATCGGCTCCAGAAAAAGATAGCCACACTGAGGAAAGAAATTGGAGTCATCACACAACATTTGAAAGGAAACCTAAAAAAGAGACCCCCGCAAAACATATTACCAGATATCAGCTCAGAAGAATCAGTAGTAGAAATATTAGATACTAAAAAACAACAACTACAGGCACAAGCAAAAAGACTAAAACGATACAAGAAGAGCCACCAAAGAAAACAAGAAAACAAACTTTTTAACACAAATGAAAAAAGGTTCTACAGATCTCTCGAAACAACGGAACAGCAAATAAACAATCCACCATCAATTACAGAAGTAAAAAACTTCTGGGAAAATATCTGGTCACAAGCAGTAGAACACAACAGAGAAGCTCAATGGATAACAGAAGAAGAAAACAAGCAGATAAATACAACAGCCATGCCAAATGTAACAATCACCTTAGAAGACATCAAAGCTGCCATATCCAAGACACACAACTGGAAAGCACCTGGAGACGACAAAATACAGAACTACTGGCTAAAATCATTCACAAGCATCCACAAACCACTAACGAATATATTTCAAAATTTTGTACAAGGAACGGAAGCCATCCCCTCTTTTTTAACTCAGGGAGTTACCTACCTTAAACCCAAAGGCACGGACACTGCAAACCCATCTAAGTACCGCCCTATAACATGTTTATCAACAACCTATAAATTACTAACGGCAATAATAACAACAAAGATCAACACTCACCTGCAGAATAATAACATCATATCAGAAGAGCAGAAAGGATGCTGTCAGGGATCTAGGGGCTGCAAGGAGCAACTGGTGATAGATGCAGAAATACACACTCAAGCCAAATTAAAACGTAAGTCTCTACATTTTGCATACATAGATTATCAGAAAGCTTTCGACACCGTCCCACACTCCTGGCTCATACAAGTTCTACAAATATACAAAATCCACCCCCGTCAGCACAACTTCTGCGAGAATCATGGCAACGACTACCTAAACCTCAAAATGAGAAAAACAACTCATCCACACAGAACCAATTCAAATTAATAGAGAATTTTCCGGAATTTGACTCCCTCAGTGCACTCTGGTTCTGTATTGCGCTCAACCCCTATCAGACCTACTCAACAAAACCCCAAGATGCTTATAAATATCCTCTCACACATCCATCTACCATCTCACCAGCTATATATGGATGACCTAAGCTTTATGCAGCAGCAAGAAAACAACTCAACAACCTTCTCAATATTACAGAAACATACAGTGAAGACATCCAAATGAAACTAGGAACAGATAAATGTAAAATAAACAGCATTATAAATGGAAAACACTCGATACAGGAAGAATACATTCTACAAGACTCCAAATATCATACAGAATATGGAAATGGATGAGACAACACAAATACCTCGGATACCTACAAAAAACAAGTTAGAGCATGCCAACAAAACAGCAACTAAAAGCAAATACAAAACAAGAATAAAACAAATACTCAAAACAGAACTGGCCGGTCGAAACAAAGTGAAAGCAATAAATACCTATGCAGCGTCCGTCCTGACGTATTCATTGGCGTTATAAAATGGAGTGACACAGAATTAGAAGAACTAAACAGGTTAACAAGAACAACATGTAACAAATACCGAATACACCATATACACGCGGCAACGAAGATTTACACTAAAAAGAAAAGGAGGAAGGGGATTCATGGATCTAAAGAGCATGAACTACAAGCAATACACACACTCAGAAATATTTCAGAGAAAGCAGTTACCAGCCCACTACACCAGCGGTAACCTAACAGCATCAGGTACACCGTTACAATTCAACAATGAAGCATTCATACCAGTTGATGCAATTACAACAACAAACACTAAAATTGAAAAATGGAAATCCAAAGCCCTACATGGAAAACATGCAAACCAACTAACACAACCACACATTGACATAGCAGCATCCAATGCATGGCTTACTCAAGGTAACCTGTTTGGAGAAACCGAGAGCAATCCAGGACCAGATCATCGCCACACGTAATTACCAGAAATACATAATCAAAGACCCCAAAACACCTACAGACAAATGCAGACTATGTCACACACGAACCGAAACAATAGAACACATAACAGGGGGATGCCCTATACTTGCTTCCAGACAATATACCCAAAGACACGACGATGTTTGCAGAATAATCCATCAAGAAATAGCAAAGAAATATTCACTCATCTGCTACCATACACCATACTACAAATATCAAGCAGCTAACGTTCTAGAATATAAGACAACCAAGCTCTACTGGAACCGGGATATAATCATAGACAAAACCACACCACACAACAAACCAGACATCACGCTCATCCACAAACCAACCAAAACGACATACTTAATAGAGATATCCATACCAAATTCACAAAATGTCAAGAAGAAACACACTGAAAAAATTGAAAAATATATACCCCTAGCAGAAGAAATAAGGCAGATGTGGCACCAGGACATTGTAAAAATTATACCAATAATAGTGTCATCAACAGGATTGATCCCAAAATCATTACATGATAGTCTGAAAGGCCTTGAACTTGCACCAAAACTTTATATACTCATTCAAATAACAGTTATCCTCCACACATGTAATATTACACAACAAGCCTTAAATACACAGTAAAAAGCGTTGACGCTTGACTTAAATCCGCGACTACGTTAAATACCGGAAAGCCCGAGATTCAAGAACATAATAATAAAGTCGGAAGTCAAGACACTACAAATGAAGAGCAGAGCATTATAGGGAATGAAGAAGCTTATAACAATTTTATTAGCTTTCTCAGATTATACGAAAATTTAGGTATATCGGAGCGTCCAAGACTCCCGCGAATCTCCAATAAGTTTAAAGCAGAAGTTATCATTAACAAATTAAACACAGTATTGAAAAAACATCTTGAAGCCGTTGAGAATATCGAGGAAATACAAGACGCAATTTATGCTGCAGCAATAACTGTTTTGGATTTTAATGGACAAAAGGTAATTTCTCCTGAAGCTTCCCAGACGAAACACTCTCCTCTTGGGAAGCCATCTTGGGCAATACGCCTACAACAACAGATAGACAATTTCCGCGCAGAAGCAGATATCATAGCAGAATATCTCAATAACAACACCTCCCCGAAAGTTAAGGCCAAAATTGAGAAGATTAGACACCAACTCAAAATTAGTCGCAACTCCCAAAGTATGCGTAGAAAATTAACGGAACACAGGGATACATTGAGACAAAAAACCAAAGCTAAGGGAGCACGTCTGGGCCGGTATAACGAGACAACAAAAAGAAAACAACAGAACCAAATGTTTATAAAAAATGAAAATAAATTCTACAAAACCTTAACTTCAACCAACTCCCCTGAACAACTGAATTCTGTGCAGAATAATAACTCGGACACCCATTTTCAAGAGTACTGGGAATCCATATGGGCTAGTAATGAAGATGCTGATTTAACTGCACCGTGGCTGACAAATGTTGAAAGAGCAACGCAAAACTTAACAGATATGCCACAAACAACTTTTACTGATATGGATGTTAGTCAGGCTCTAAAGAAAGCAAAAAATTGGAAGGCCCCTGGATACGATCAAATCCATAACTTCTGGCTCAAGAAATTCACAGCTTCTCATGAATCACTTGCACGCTGCTTTACAAAAGCGCTTAATGATCCCACTACGCTACCAAGACACATTTCTGAGGGTATTACCTACCTTATACATAAAAAAGGAGATCAGAATAATCCACATAACTATAGACCCATTACATGCCTCTCGGTCTTCTACAAGCTACTAACAGCTATGGTAAATGATAAAATATACCAGCATTGTGAAAGCAACAACATTTTCGCCTTCGAACAGAAAGGGTGTATAAGAAAAGCAATGGGGTGCAAAGAACAACTGTTGATCGATTCTGTAATTATGAAAAAAGCGCAGGCTCAAAAGCGTAATCTACATACTTGCTACATTGACTACTCCAAAGCCTTTGACTCCATACCACATAACTGGCTCCTCAAAATACTTGACATCTACAAAATTTCCGACAATGTAAAAGCAATGCTTACATATATAATGAAATCATGGAGAATCACGCTCAAACTTAATAACAAAAACATTGGGAAAGCTGACATCAGGTGTGGAATATATCAAGGAGATTCGCTCAGTCCTACGTGGTTTTGTCTGGCATTGAACCCTCTGTCCCAACTACTTAAGAACAATAATGCTGGTTTCAGGATAAAGATGAGAGACCGAACTAGATATAGTCACTTGCTCTACGTGGATGACCTTAAACTATACGCCGAGTCTAAACAACAGCTTGAGTCTCTACTAACAGTGACACAATTTAGTGACGATATAAAGATGAATTTTGGTCTAGATAAATGTGCTACAATAGAAATAAAGAAAGGACACGTGGTGAAGACCGAGGAAAATTTTATGAATATACCTTGTCTCGAACCTGACGATACCTACAAATACTTTGGCATACAACAAAATCTTGGAATCCCCCATACAAATCTTAAGAAAGAGGCCATGGAAAAGTATAAAAGCCGTCCCACTAAATTGCTAAACACAAAATTAAACTCCAAGAACCTGACAAGGGCCATTAATTGCTGGGCAATTCCAACACTCTCATACTCCTTCGGAATTCTAAAATGGTCTGACACCGATCTAGACGAACTAGATAAAACAACACGAAGAACGCTTACAAAATTCCGCTGCTTACATCCCAATTCATCCATCCAACGACTGTACATGCCACGCAGCGAGGGTGGACGTGGACTGCTCAACATTAAATCTCTTTGCAAATCACAAGAACGTAAAATGAGAGAATACTTTTTACAACACACTCACCCAAATATCCAAACAGTAGTCGAACTGACCAAGCATATACACCTCTCAATCTAGCTTCCCCACAACTTGAATTTCAAATAGAATCACATTCAAGTCGAATAAATAATTGGAAAGAGAAGATATTACATGGAAAATATCCCTTACAACTAGCTGCTGCTCACATTGATAAGTCAACATCAATATCTTTCTTAAAGTATGGTAATCTACACCCTGAGACAGAGGGTTTCATACTGGCAATCCAAGACAGGATCATGAGAACCAGAAATTATGAAAAGCACATCCTGAAGACGGACACCATTGATGTATGTCGAAAATGTGCTAAACCGGGTGACACCATCGAACATATTACTGGTGCGTGCTCCGCCCTTGCAGACACCGATTACCTCTGTCGACATAACCAAGTGGCTAAGATTATACATTCGCGCTTAGCATTAAGGTGCAAACTAATAAAATCGTCACTGCCATATTATAAATATACACCTGATGCAGTTTTGGAATCCGACCAACATCTGTTATACTGGGACCGACCAATCATAACTGATAAAACTGTGGATTACAACCGTCCGGACATCTTGCTTATCAATAAATCTGAAAAAGTAGCACGGATTATTGACATCGGAATTCCACTCACGCACAATATATTCAAAACAGAACAAGAGAAATGTAGAAAGTATACTAACCTAGCTATAGAGGTAAAACGCATTTGGAACCTAAACAAAGTCAGTATTGTGCCCCTCATAATCTCCACCGAAGGAGTTTGTACCACCAATCTTTCACCTAACTTGGCTAAATTGGAACTACAAAAAGGCTTACGTTATCCCATGCAAAAGGCCGTAATTTTACAAACCTGCCATCTAGTTCGTAAGTTCCTATCAATATAGACAGGATGAAGTGAATTCTTCCTCTGCTTATATATCGCCCGACATGAAATGTTGAGATTAAAAAGAAAAGAAAAGATAATAATAATACCGAGTAAACTCAACTATTTAATAGAAACTGTTCAGGTCTTCAGCAGGGACATACGTATGTCCTTTGGCTTTGACAAATGTGCTACTGTCAACATCAAAAGGGGTAAAATTGAAGATCGGCAACAAGTCATATGTAACATTAAGCAGCTTCCGCCAAAAGATACTTGCCGATACCTGGGACTAGCCCAAAATTCAACAATTGATCACACAACAATTAAAAGGGAGATTCGTGAGAAATATAACACCAGGCTAATGAAGCTCTTAAATACAAAATTATCTGGCCATAACCTGATAAAAGCTATAAACGCTTGGGCAATACCGGTGTTAACTTATTCCTTTGGAGTGGTTAAGTGGTCAAATACCGACCTTGAAGATCTCGATCGCCTTACCCGTAGACAATTAACAAAATTTAGAAATCTGCATACAAACTCATCTGTATATAGGCTGTATGTTTCTCGTAGGATGGGTGGGAGAGGCTTGCTAAACATTAAAGATCTATGCCTAAAACAGGAAAATGGCATGAGGCAGCGATTTATGTCCTCCAACTGTGCAATAATGAGGCTAATCGTGGCTCAGGATAAAGGTTACACTCCTTTCAATTTAAGTTGCCGTAACCGGATTGACAAACCCATCTCGATAGAGGAGCGTGTTGCAGGATGGAAAAACGGCGCTCTGCATGGCAGGTATCAAAAGTCGCTTCAGTCTGAGGGGGTCGACCTTCATTCGTCATTGGCCTGGCTTAGAGACGGAAAATTGTTTTCTGAGACCGAGGGTTTCATGATGGCCATCCAGGACGGAGTTATGAGGACCAGAAACTATGAAAAGAACATTTTAAAACAAGACGTAGTTGATGTATGTAGAAAATGCTCTATGAGGGGGGAGACAATAGAACATATCACGTCTGGTTGCTCTACCTTAGCAGATAATGCGTATCTTGGACGTCATAATCAACTTGCCAAAATTATTCATCAACAACTTGCCATAAAATCAGAACTCTTGAGCAAAACATCACCTCCCTACTACAAGTACTCCCCGCAACCCGTCCTGGAATCTAGGGATACTGTTTTATATTGGGACAGACCAATTATAACCGATCGGACAGTGGACCACAATAGACCCGACATTCTTTTTATCGATAAGATCAATAAAACGGGCATTATAATTGACATAGCCGTACCATTATCCCGCAGGATAAAACAGACGGAAACAGATAAAATAACAAAATACGAAAATTTATCATATGATTTAAAAAACGTGTGGAATCTTAATACCGTAAAGATCTTACCGTTCGTAATTTCGGTGGAGGGAATTATTAGCACAGAATTCCAAAAAAATCTAAAAGATTAATTTACCATGCTCAATTGCAAAAGTAGGACAACGAGCTGTATTGTTGCAGACTTGTCACATCGTCCGAAAATTCTTGAACTAGCGGGAAGGAGGTCTACTACTAGTAGGAAAAATGTCATACAGAAAAAAGGATAACTGTCTTCGATAGAACTGACTGAAATTCGACACCAAGCAGGAAGGCAACTACATCAGCAGAGCGTTAACCTGGAAATAGAAAATGTACAAACGCCAGAAAATCTGGAACATCCATCAATAATTAAATATGGATCTTAAAGAAAATAAAATCCAGGAAATAAAGGACTAATTTCTGAGTAGTCTGCATTTTTACGCAGGCTCTGTACCATCTAAAAGGCCAACACTTCCCAAAATTCATCAAAAAGTTTCAACCAATCGACTCCTCGATACAATGAGCGCAATCCTCAGAAACCATCTCATAGAGTGCGACAATATCGAAGAAATCCATCTTTCGCTATATGCAGCTATTACAATGGTTCTAATAAATAATGGACATAAAGTTAAGGCGACCGAAAATTCAAAACAAAAAAATAAAGTTCTACCTAAGCCTGAACCCTGGAGAACAAGAATCGTGCAAGAAATTGACAAATACCGAGCCGACTCAGATTTAATATCTGAATATCTACAAGGGAACAGGTGTCAAAGAAGGTTACTAAGAAAATCAAGATCATTAAACAGAAACTAAACATAATTATCTGTTCTGGAGATGAAAACACCCTTTTAAATAACTACCGAGATGAACTCAAAAGACAAAAAGCCAAAGCCAAGGGAGCTAGACTAGCCAGATATAATGATACATCAAGAAAGCAGCAGAACTTAGCTTTTCAACAAAACGAAAGGAAATTCTATCGATCTCTGTCTTCTAATGGCGATGCAGAGGAGCGTCCAGTTGCTAACGATCAAGAGTTTATAGAATTCTGGAGTGCCATGTGGTCTGAATCAGTCTCAGCCGATTTAAAGGCACCTTGGGTTGAAGAAATCTCGAAAGCGGCAACCAACATACCTCCAATGACATCAGTGGAAATCCCCGTTGAAGATATTCGGACAGTTTTGACTAGGGTTAGCAACTGGAGAGCCCCTGGACCAGATCAGATTAATAATTACTGGCTTAAAAAATTTACTGAAATACATGCCCCCCTAGCACGAGCCTTTACTAAAGCAGTCGGTGACCCAAAATCAGTGCCTGAATTCCTCACTACCGGAACTACGCATCTGATATTTAAAAAGGGAAACCCGGCTGATCCGAGGAATTATAGACCGGTTACCTGTCTGTCAGTGGTCTACAAACTTCTGACAGCTGTTATAAATAATAAAATCTATGACCATTGTATAAACAACGACATTCTCGCAATTGAGCAGAAAGGATGTGTACGTGGTGCGTTGGGGTGCAAGGAGCAACTAACGGTGGATGCGGTGATTATGAAAAATGCATCTAGGAAACATCGTAATTTGAATGTATGCATATTGACTACTCAAAAGCGTACGACTCTTTATCTCATAACTGGCTCCTGAAAATATTAGAAATCTATAAAATCAGCCCTCATTTAATTCAATTGTTGTCCCATATGATGGGAACATGGAAGACGTCTTTAAAAGTATGTTCTTCGAGTGTTGGTGAGGTTCAGATACGGCGAGGAATTTTTCAGGGCGATTCTCTGAGCCCCGTTTGGTTTTGCTTAGCTTTAAACCCTCTATCATTTCTTCTCAACAGCATGAAAATTGGCTACAAGATCCGGATGAAGGATAAAATCAAATATAATCACCTTTTATATATGGATGATTTAAAACTATATGCCGAGTCGAAGCCACACCTTTCATCATTAATTGAAAAAACCAAAATATTTAGTCGAGACATTAAAAAGAACTTTGGATTTGAAAAGTGCGCCACATTTTCTATTAAAAAAGGTGTGTTGAGCCCCATCAATGAACCCATTGCCAACATTCCTCAGCTTGAAGATGGCCAAACTTATAGATATCTGGGCACCCAGCAAAGTAAGAATATCTGTCATACAAAAATTAAAAAAGAATTTAAAGATAAATACGTGTGGCGCCTAACAAAGCTTTTGAACACCAAGCTGAACTCTAAAAACCTTTTTAAAGCTATTAACACCTGGGCTATACCGATACTAACCTACACGTTCGGTATAATTAAATGGAGTAATACGGACCTTGAAGAGCTGGATAGATTGACGCGGGTAAAACTCACTAAGTTTTCTCTTCACCATCCAACTTCGGCAATGGAGCGCCTCTATCTACCACGCTCGCAAGGCGGACGAGGACTATTAAACATATCCCAGCTTTGCCAATCACAAGTTGCCAAAATACGTCAGTATTTTCATAGCCATAAACATCCAAAAATAGTAAGAATTGTAGAGGCAGATGAATCCTACACCCCGCTCAACCTCACAAACCGTGAAGAAAATTTGCGTCCAGAATATAATGCAATAAGAAAGAATAAGTGGCAAGAGAAAAGCTTACATGGTAGGTACCCATCTCAACTAGCGGCCGAAAATATCGATAAGCAATTATCCACCACATTTCTGGCAAAGGGCCAACTGCATCCTGCCACTGAGGGTTTCATTATAGCGATCCAGGATAAAGTCATAAGAACAAAAAATTACGAAAAAAACATACTGAAGCAAAACGTTATTGACCGATGTAGGAAATGTAACCAATATGGTGAAACAATAGAACACATTTCTGGTGGTTGCGCTGTACTTGCAG